GGGGCAGAGGAGGGGCAGGACTGAGCTCTGCTCTGGGGGGAGCAGGGACAGCCCCCAGGGAATGGCTGGAGCTGTGTCAGGGCAGGCTCAGGGTGGATCTCAGGGCAGTTTTGTTTTAATAAGTGTTTTTTTAAGCAGTGTTTTGTTGTAATACAGTTGCGAGATTAACATATAAATGAGCTTTTTCTTAGTCTGGGGAGGGGGCTTTATCTTAACCTGTGCCTTCAGCTTTCTCCTCCCAATGGTTTCAGGTATCCTCAGTGCTCACACTCAGCCCTGTCCTGCTCTTGCATTTGTTTGTGCAGTATCATTGTGCAGAGGTTTCTGCAGCTTCATTCTGGCTCTGTATCTGCCAAAACACTTCAGGAGAAGCCACTAACAAGGACACAGATTTGAAATTATCTCATCTAATTGCTGGCAGCAGAAGGGATGGTGGGGGAGATGTTAGGAAGCATTGCTCGGTGGCCTAACAGTGTCTGTTCCATTAAATCCTGGGAGTCTGACCCATCTGGAGTTATTTCCTCCTGTGTAGTGAGAAGGATTAATTAAAGGAGACCATAAGAGTAACCATGGGTGGGTGTGGCTGAGGGATGGGGATGATCCTGGGGGCTCTGCACTGGTGTCAGTGCAGCCCTGTCCAACGTGGTTTGGGAAGTTCCAGCCCTCCCTGCCTCAGTGTCCACATCAGTGAAATGGCCTCATCCCTCACTTCCCTGGGGGAGATGATGAGGATTAATGGCAAAATATCCAGGAATCTCCTTCTAAAAGGAGCCACACAATGGCAGAGCTGTAATTTTGTATTGTTATTATATTTGCATTGTTGTCATGTCATATGTGTTATATACATTATTATATTTATATTTTTATTATATTTAAACATGCAGTGGCTCCTCTTGCTCCACTTGCACTGAGGATGCTCCAGGTCACCAAGGGGATGTCACCTGCTGTCACCCCTGTGGTGTCCTCACACACAGGGCCACTGCCTCTGGGGCTGCAGACACTTTCATTAATGCTGCCCAACACTCTGCTTGATTCTCCCTGCATCCAGGATGTGTTATGGGGGATGTGCCCATCCCTGGAAGTGTCCAAGGCCAAGCTGGACGGAGCTTGGAGCAACCTGGGCTGGTGGAAGGTGTCCCTGCCCGTGGCAGGGGGTGGGATGAGATGGGCTTTGAGGTCCCTTCCCATTCTATGATTTTGTGATTCTGCTTTAAACCACTCTCAGCCTTTTGAAAATGATTTCTCCTGGGTGCATTCCCACAGCCTGATGCCATTTTTACTTTTCTTTTAAAATTTAGCCCCACTAGCCCTGAGATTGGGAGTGAATGATCCATCCCCAGCTGTGACCACAGCAGCTCACCCTCAGTAGGCCAGGGCTGGGTACATGCTCAGCTTTACCTCCCAGCTCTAAAGAAGTCAGGATGGGGCCCAGTTTGCATTTGGGGGCTGATTTTAGGAGAACCACAAAGCTCATCACCAGCCACTCTCCTGTGCTTTGTCTTTGAATAGCTGGACGTGAATTATTTCACCTATAAAGAAAAATTCTTTGCAGTGATATTCTTCAAAAATGATTTGCCCCCAAGTCCAGATTGCATGTGGGAAGAGGACAGCCGAGAGAAAAATGCCCAAAATGGTGACAGGAGGGATTGGAGATAAAGGAGGGAAAGGGAGAGTAAGGAAAACCCCCAAAGTCTTGATGGGAGCAAGCAGAAAATATCAGGAGGATATTTTTGGAGGGGATGTGACTGTCTCTGGGGTATAATGACACGTTTAAGTTTGCCCCATTACATTCAGGTCTCTTGTTTTCTCCCCCAGGCTCCCTGTCCCAGGTCACTGGATGAACACCTGAGTCTCCTCCGAGTGCCAGAGGATGAACCTGTAGCAGCTTCTCCACAGGTAAGAGCCTCCAGTGGTTTGGGAAGTCCCTGTGGGACCACAGAGCCTGTGGCTGTGCTGCTTGTGGTGTGCTGGGGGTTTGCTTTCCACGGGGCTCTCCCAGGTTTTGAGCCCCTCTGAGGTGACACAGCCCCAGGGCTTTGCAGTTCCTGGAGCAGATGTAGCGACTGAGCATTTAAAAGATGTTTTGAGGGGTAAGAACGGGTCCAATCATGGTTTTTCATTTCATTTCTGCTTCCAGCGTGCTCTGGTTGGGTTTGTAGGTGTTCCTGTGCAGGTGTTTGCAGAGATTTTCTGAAGCAGGTACTGTGGTTGCAGGTGGAGGTCACATCTTTCTTTCTGGCTCTTTATCCAGCAGCTGCTTAATATGAAATATTTAGAACCAGAAGCTGCTGCTGGGCCTCTCCCCTTGCAGCTGAGCAACATGAGCAGCAGGTTCCCAAATCCCACCCTCCCTCCCAGCTCCCCCTGTCCCTCCCAGCTCTGCCTTTTCCCCTTTCCACCTTCATGAAGTCGCTTCATTTCCTGAGGACGTCTTGCCTTCCTTTGGGATGCTGCTTGTCCAGCTTTGGGGAAGTCTGTGGAAATAAAATACTGATCATGGCGATCCTGGAGAACCCTCCAGAAGAAGGTGGTGTGTTCCTGGGCAGGGACATTGGCCACCAGCTTTGTTGTAGAAGCTCAATCCAGGATCCGATGCCGATGTCGAGGGAGGATTTTAAGGACACTTGGCCGAGGTGAGACAGATGAGAACAGGCTTTAAGTGGAAAATGGGATGGTTTGCTCCCTGCTTTGGTGTGTACAGCTTTTCCACAGGAATGCACATCCCACAGGGGCAGGTTGCAGGTTGAAGACCCCCCAGCCGGGCGTTGTTTTCCGAGTCAGACACGGTGGCCTTGGATGGGCAGGACGGCAGGGAAAGAGCAGGAAAGCTCTGGGAACGGGGCCAGGCTGGGGGAGGTGGTGGTGCTGCACCTACAGAGGACACAGGTTTTTGTGGGGGAGAAGCTGCAGGCCTGGACAGAACACAGGAGTGGAGGGGCACAGCACAGTGTCCTGGAGAGCAGCGGCCGCTGTGACACAGCCCAGTTTGTTGTCCCCTCGGTGAGAGGTGATTGAGGGGACAGTTGTGCTCCCTGGGAGCAGCAGGGAACCACAGGGAACCACAGTCAGCGTGACTCCGAGCTGCCTCCACCGGCAAACACTTGCTTGGGTGCACTTGGAGCTGATTATCTCCCTGACCTTTACTTTCACCAGGGTTTCTTGCAGCGTGTCTCTTCAGCCCGGTCCAGCTTTGACCTCGGTTCCCAGAGGCAGCAGGATAATGTATTCATGTGCTGTGTTGTCTAGCCACTTCACATCCCTCCCTCCTCCCCTCCCTCCACCCCTCGTCTCTGTCCTTTTTGGCAATCTGTCATTTTTGGTTTTGGGCCGAGTCCAGGAGCTGAGTAAAAAGTACTTGGGCAGCTGGAGTGAGATACAATGGGTTTAAATTCGCTTTAACGTGTTTGTAAACAACTGCACTTCATCAGGGGCCCTGCCCAGCACGCTGGCAGCAGACAAAACTGATGAGACTCTTCTGAGATCAGAATTAATTACACTGCATGGAGATGGTGCAAAGCAGACAGTGATGCAGAGGGGAAATATCTCCTGTTCCGTGGTCCATGTCGGTTCATTTATGCTCTGCTTGTCACTGAGGCCACTGAGCACCTGGGATTGCTCCTCTCCCAGCTGTGGCAGGGGAGAAGATGAGCAGAGACAGCTCCAAATGTTGGGAGGGCCGTGGAGCTGCAGCACCATCAGGATGCTCCGCAGAGCACCCGGCGACATGTCACGTTTGGTGGAAATCATCTACCGGGGAGAATCAGCACAGGGAATAAAGATCTTGTCCCGTTAAAATATCCCCATTTCTGAATTCCCACAGCTTGTCCCTGGTGGAAAAAGAGAAGGAAAAAAAAAAAAAAGTTTTATGGTTTCTTTCGCAACAGGGAATAAAAAAAAAATCCTTCATCGAGGAGGATTTGGAGAGGGAAACAAGCTCAGAGCACAGGGAGGGGGCAAATGAGCTGTAGTTGGAGCACGTGGATTGGGTTGGTCCCAGGTAGCTCGTCGATCCCAGCTCATGAATTTTGATGCATAAAGACTGAATTTGCAGGTCTGGGCTCCCACTCTGCTGCTGGGGGCTGTGAGTGGGGCTGATGTCATGATGTCACTGTTTAAACATAGAGGAGTTGTTCTAGTGGGGAAACCACGGGCAAGAAAAATCAAAATGCTTTGGAACAATCCCCTCTGCAGTGTGGTGGCTGGGCTCACACACCAGGGTTGGTCTGTGGCTGCTCCTGGAGGCAGCAGATCCCTGACTCTGCCTGAGCACCAGGGGAATTGCAGGAATTGGCACCGTGGCTTGGAACGAGATCTAATTAATTAATTCGAGACATGCTGGGATTAAATTTTATTAAACCTTGGAATCAGAGCAGACCAGATGAAATGTAAGCAAAGGCTGGGAAGGGGAAGGAGGAGGGTGTGTGACATGTGGTGCCTCTGCAGTGCTGACGGGGCACTGAGGGTGCTCTGGGTGTCTGTAGATACACACTAAGGTATGGACATATAGAGAGCATAGAAGAGAATCACTGAATGTCCTCAGTTGGAGTGAACCCACAAGGATCATGCAGTCCAACCCTCAGCCCTGCACAGACACCCCAACATTCCCACCCTGTCCCTCAGAGCATTGTCCAAAGCCTCCTGCAGCTCTGGCAGCCTTGGGGCTGTGCCCACTGCCCTGGGGAGCCTGTTCAGTGCCCAACCAGCCTGGGGGGGAAGAACCTTGCCCTGAGATCCACCCTGAGCCTGCCCTGACACAGCTCCAGCCATTCCCTGGGGGCTGTCCCTGCTCCCCCAGAGCAGAGATCGGAGCTGC